ATTATCTATACCTAAAGAACTCTCTTTCAAATTAATTATTTTCCCAAAAATGAAATATCCACATATCTTTTTTTACACATTTACAGGCTTTGATTCTTTTTCCTACAAATTTTTCTTTTCCTCAAATGGAGCTAACTTATCTAAATGTACCACTTTATTTTTATGTCTTTTGTTTTACAAATGCAATAAATACGTCATTCATTTTCTTAACCATCTCATAAAGTCTTTCCCAACTATTTTGCAATTTGGGAGTCCTATCTCGCATCTTTTGAGGATTATAAAATCAAACCTTCTGGCCAGGCACAAAATTCAGTCGCCTATCCTTCCGATCATAATTCATTTTTGTCTTTTGCGACCTTAAATCCATACGTTGACTCGCAACATTATAGATTTGATTAATTTTTTCCCTCAATCTAAATAAATATCTCTCTTCCTGAGAAACACTATCGGATTCAGGAGGATAACCACGAAGAAGATCTATAGACAATCTTAATTTTCTTCCCAAATTCAACTCTGCAGGAGTAAAACCTATGACCTCATGCTTAAAAGATCTGTAAGCCAATAATCCTAAAGGAACCCAACAATCTCAATCTCTCTGATTTTCTAAAATAAATTTAGATAAATAATTTAACAAAGTCTGATGCTGTCATTCCACCTGATCGTTAGATTGAATGAAGAGGAATAGTGCGAGTTTTCTTTATTCCTAAAATTTGACATAACTCCTGAAACATTCGCGATTCAAAATTCCTTCCCTCCGTATGTATCTCCAACGACACTCCATGCCTAGATACTATTAACTTACAAAGACTTCTGCCATTTTCTACTAGTTTTGATTTCTCAGTGGAAAAGCTTCTATTTTGAGAAACAATCAGTAATTACTAATAAATATTTATTTTCGGAAGAAAAAAATGTAAGAAACTAACATGTCCGCCTGCACCCTCTCAAAGAGAGCACTCACATTGTAAATCTGAAAAGCAGATTTTCCCTTTCCAACAGGATCTTTTCTAGCAACACAAACTTTACAAATCCTAATCCAATGTTCCACATCTTGTTTGCATGTCACCCAAAAGAAATTCGCTTCCGAATCTTTTCAAGAGTTTTATTAATTCTAAAATGCCCTCCTGTAGGAGAATCATGAGTTTCCTTCAAAATCTGTTGCATCATTTTATGAGGAACAACAATTTGAAAAATAATTTTCAAATTAGTTTTCAAATCAGGAGACTCCTATTTCCATTTACAAAGAATTCCATTCTTAATAACTGGAGAATCCCATTGAGACCAATAAATTTTCGAAGAAGTATTCCCGGAAATAATCATGTCGAAGAGGGCATCTACCTATTTCCTTACTCCGAAGAATTTCAACAATCGAAGGATCTTCTAACTGCGCTGTCCGCTAATCCTTCGATTCTCTTCTCTTTAAAACTATTCTTCCTAAATATTCCCCTTTGTTTTCCTTTTCTTTTCTTTCTGGCGCAATAATTGCAATCACTTTCCGTACAGGGGCGTTTTGATAATCCATCAGCGTTTCTATGCGATTTCCCTACTCCATAAGAAATTTTGAAGTTATATTGCTAAAGACGTTCCAATCAGCGGGCCAACCAACTGACCTTCTAGTTTCCTAAAAGACATCAACCAACGGAGAGAAACATGGTCAATTCTTATTAAGAATTCTTGTCCATATAAATAATGATGAAAACTTTTCAAAGAATCAACTATTGCTAACAACTCTCTACGAGTAACACAATAATTTCTTTCAGTTTCATTTAACATCCTACTAAAATAAGCAATAACTCTTTCTTTTTCTTCTTGAATTTGGGATAAAACAGCATCAATGCCATGATTCGAGGCATCAGTATCCAAAATGAATTTTTCTGTCAAATTAGAAAAGATAAAACAGGGGAAGAAATCAAACATGGCTTAAGCTTTTCAAATGTCTCCTGACAATGTTCATCCCAAACAAACCTACACTATTTCTCATCAAGGAAAATAGGGGTTTTGCAATTTGCAAAAAATCCTCTAACAAATTTCTTATAATAAGAGCAAAACTTCAAAAAGTTACAGACTTGCTTTTTATTTCGCGGAACAAACCATTCCTGCACGGAAGTAATCTTTTCAGAGTCAGTAGAAACTCCTTCTTCCAAAACTTTATGTCCTAAATATTTAACTTTCCTTTCAAACAGGGAACATTTTTTTGGATTTATTTTTAAATTGTTACTCTGAGACGAAGAAAAACTTCCCGTAGATTAGTCAACATCTCTTCAAAGGTTTTATTGAAAATCATATCATCTAAATAAACCAAACAGATTTTATTTAATATCTGATAAAGAACTCTTTCCATTAATCTCTCAAAAGTCACCGGGGCATTACATAATCCAAATAGCATCACAGTAAATTGCTACAAACCGTTTTCTATTGAGAATGCTGTTTTTTTCTTATCTTCTGGATAAAATCTTCACCTGCCAGTACCTACTTTTTAAATCCAACATGGAAAACCAAGAATTTCCTGACAATCGATCAAGAAGATCATCAATTCTTGGCAATGGGTAACAATCCTTCTCAGTGATTGCGTTGAACTTTCCATACAGAACCTCAACGTCTCGTCCTCTTTCTTCATAACCGCAAGCAAAACCCAAAGATTATGAGGATACTATGGGATTCTTCAATCACCCCTTGCTGTTTCATCTCTTCAAGAATTTTCTCCATCTCATCTCGCAACTGTAAGGGAATGAGTCTGTTTAATAGGACTTGATTTTCCTACAGAAATTGAGTGCTCTATTATCGAGCAATTACCCGCTACAATTCCGAAAAAATATCCTGAAAATCTTCGAGAAATTCAGAGAAACTTTTCTTTTATAAATCATTTAACCCTATCGAATTCTTATTGAAGAAATCTAATAAAAATTCAGGAACCTTCTTTTCTGAGAGACTAATACGAGAACAAGATAGGTTCCTCTCTTTTCCAGAATCGTCATTGCTAAAGAGGGAATTGAAGATCCTATTCTGCCCGACTTTAACAATGTAACGCGGTCACCCCGCTCGACGCTCGGATCGGCTCGTCGATGTCCGGGTTCGAGAGGAGGGGAGACTCAAGCGTACACGAACACAAGTTGCAGCGAAAAGATCGTTTATTGGTAGAAAGATAGATACAGAGTGCAGGGCCGGAAGATGTCGCAGTGTAGTGGGCAGCAGACGGTGAGACGCAAAGCGGAGACGCAAAGCGGTTGACGCAAAGCGCTAGACAAGTGAGGCGTGCGGTCGACAACGGTTTATTTACACGTGACTACGGCGCGGTTATAGCTAAAGATCTTAGAATTACCGGCTTATAACTAGCAGACTTAATCTCTATCGCATGCACTTACAAGCTAATGTCAGGTTGGACGGCTATTGCGGGCAGGGCCGAGTGTCACGTCGAGTCCTACCTTCGCAACGGAAACCGGCGAAA